GGCATCCATACAGAACTTTTCATACACTGAGGAATTTATTCTGCTTAAGTGCTTTACCTTAAGCAGTTTTCACTAGCTATCCTCTAATCTGTATGAACAGAAATAAATGGAGTCAGGAAAATTATCTGTTTTAAGCCTTCCTATCAAACTGATAGGAATCAAACTGATGCAACTGCATTTAATCCATGTGAGAATTTTTAGCAAGTTTATGCAATAAAGACCTGCAGTCTGTCAGAAATTTTCAGCAAAATACAAATTCAGGGTATCCTACCCATTTGCCTTGAAGTTAAAAGACTAATTACATGAACTGATTTATTAATAAATGTGGCTTTTTGTCTAATTATTTTAAGTACTAACAGACTGGGGAACGATTTTAAATTTCTAATGTGCCTTGAAACCATTTTTTTTAGGTTAATTACATTTCTCAGTAAAGTCACTATAGATATGCCCCTCAGGTTTTACAGTGGAAGATTAAAGAAAAAAGAAAGATGATTACCTCATTGGCCAGGTCCAGTAATACTGGGGCAGCTGCATTTTTCATCACCCCATTCAGGTACCTAGACAAGACAAAGCCAGGTAATTTTGCAGTGGCAAGAAAAGGCCAGTTTATATATGTCAGCATCCCTTGTGAATGCTTTTCATTTGGGGGAAAACACCCCATTTAATGGGAAATCTTTTAAGAAGTAAGTATTTTAAGCAATCATTAACTCTCCAGGGTTGTCTCCTATTCTATTCTATTCTATTCTATTCTATTCTATTCTATTCTATTCTATTCTATTCATCTGCAAAATATATCTATCTCAATTAAGACACTGGTAAAAAACCCAACATATCAAGAAATTAAAAAAAATGTGGCTTAATAACACACAAATAAATTATATCTGTACTACTTAAAGATGCATCACAGACAAATAAACCTCTATTATTCACAGTAAAGATTTTTGGCTCCACATGAGCTTCAACTATGAAGGTGCACTGTATATCTTACCCAATTCCCTAGTACACACAAGAACATAAATTCTCAAATTTATTCCAGATTTTATCAGCTGGGCAGTAATTTAAATACTAAAGGCTTACTTTAGTGAAATCAGTCTAACAATTAATATTCTACAAAGAAAACAAAAAATATTTAGCTGTCGCCCTGATTTTGTAAGACTTTGTTAAGCCTTCTGATGTTTACATTCTTTCAACAAACTTTCTCACACACAGTTCTGTAAATAACCTATGTTTTGCATTCTTTCATGGAGGTGGAGAGAATTGATGGACCCTTGGTCTGTCCAGTGGCATTGGAGAGGTGGCACTGTCACCCTCCAATCCACTGTCACCTTTGGAAAACTATAAATGTTGGAGTCAGAAAATAAAGTTCCTCTGCTTCCTTTTTGTTCCCCTCGAGAGCACCAGTGTCTGTGTCATCATTTCGTGCCTTATCACAACATTTAGCATTCAAAAAAAGTTGATAGAAAGTCATTATCCTATCAGTAGCAAAGGCTTAATGTTTCTAATTGACGGTATTCTGACCATCAATTCACACAATGTCGCTTTCCTCACTTCTGTTACTTTCACTGTTTGATATTCAGATTTCAATAAAACCTGAAACCTGTGTTCAGAAGCTGATGGGAAGGAGCTATGATATTGGAAGCCACTTTGTGCTTTGCAGCCATGTGGAAAAGAACAATAGTTACCAACATTTGAACCTGCTCGTTTATCCTATCTGTATTCGCATAGCACATCATTACTGACATCATTAGAAGGCCACAGCCTTTCCAGCTCTATCATTATCTATCCATCAGAAGACACTCTTCTGCTCATTAGTTACAGGCATTAAAATTCTTTATCATTTTACCTTTCTGTGGAATGGGTGGCACACCTTCATAAAACCCCTTCACATAAGATTTGATAGAGGGCTTTTTGCTTGCAAATTATTCTGATGCTTAATGAATTAAGGAAATGAAAAAAGCTTTTTGCTGTAAACTATTTCGGTTCCATATTAAAAAAAAACAAAAACACAAAACATATTCAAACATTGCAAATTTATAACAGAAGAAAATGAGATATCATACACAAAATACACAACCAGGAAAATGTACTTGAGATTAAAGTTCTCAAACATGTATCTAGATGATCGAACAGCAACAGTGAGAATGAAGTAAATTTCTGTCATATATTTCTAATGCTTCTGGCAACTCAATTATAGACTAACAGGTCTCAGAAGCTGATGGCAATACAGTTCTGAAAACCTGCTGATCCTTCTTGTACTTTGTGCTTGCCTAAGTTTCAGACTAGTAAGTCTCAGCCAAGTGGAAGAAACTACTCTACTCAACTGTTTTACTTGCTCCTAACAGGTACCACTGGAAATGTCTACCTTCAAAACCTGGTAGTTCTGACCTAAGAAAGCAATGACAGCACAATTATCTGCTTGTATGTCGGCAGAAACACCAAGGAGCATAGCACTCAGTCTGGGGTTTACAGCAGTAAAGTGGATGATACAGAAGAGCAGAGGAGAAGACATGTTTGTCATATTTACGCCTGAAGTATTTCAAAGTGGCTTCTATCTCAAGTTGTCTGGTTCTGTAGCCTCCTGAAGATACTACACTGTAAATCTATTAAAACAGGACTGAAATGAGTTTTTTAGCTATTGACCAGAACATCTCTGATTTTAAAACATGTGCATTTTACTCAGCCATGTTAATACACTTGCAAAATGACATACTCAGAAATAGCATAAAGAATGATTTTCCCTACCGCTACCACACAGCTTCATACATAATGCATTAGTTATGCACTGCTATCATACTTCAGACTACAGAAGAAGACAGGAGACCAAATCCTCCTACCTGATGTGAGACAAACTTAATCATACCTACAACCCTACTGACACCAATACAACTGCTGCTTTGCATAAAGCAAAATCTTCTCCCGTGTTTCAGGTTGAAGTTTCAGGCTGGAACTAGTGATTTACACATACTCTAAGAAAAGGGTTACTTACGCAGCAGTTACAATTACCACGGGCTGCTTCACTGAAACTGTGCTAGTGAAAAATAATTAAAAGTAGTACTGTATACGCATGTTATTAGCAAAACAAAATTTTAAGCCAATATTCTTCCTAAACAAGAATCAACCCTAGGAAAAGTGTGATGTGATCCAGTACAAATTTTACAAAACAATACAACTACTAAAAAACTGAAATCAAACACCCAAACTAGTACATTTCACACTAGATATTCTAAACCAGTGTCTGATATAATCAGGTTGTGGTTAAGTTTTAAATACATGACTCTGGCAGAAGCACATTTAATTGTTTACAAATGAAGGCTCTTTGTTTATTTTCTTGATTCATACAGATTAGTATTAAGCACGAATATCATACATCACAAGTAGGAATTCACTTGCCATGCATGCTCTTCAGATATGTCAGTCTACAAAGCAATATTTTAATTGCATATCTTTACCTGTTATCACTATGCCCCAATTATGTCACTGGGATATTTTTAGTAAAGCCTGTGGAACGAACAGAAAAACTACAAGGTGTAGCAAGCACAGTTTATTAGCTTAAGAGGCAAACAATTGTAAAATGACATAAAGGTTTTCATCCTCCCTTAAAAACTATTTCTGACACTTCTGTTGATAAAACAGGAGTGATCTAAAAATTAGTGCTTTAACTGGCAATACATGAATATGTAACTTTTTGTAATGTAACACAAATGTTGTTTTAAACAAGCAACTGTAACATAACAAGCTCTCTTGCTGTAAAGGAAGTCATCAAAATCAGTCTTGACACAGAAATCCTAAAAATTACAAACTATAGGCAATATATAATAAATGTCATCACATACACTGGAAAAAATATTTGCTTATCCTGACTTAGAGCCAGGGAAGTAAACTCTTTCTTAATCAGAATGACCAAATCCTGAAAAAATTCTGTATTATGAGTGAAAAACATTTTTAGGTGAACCATTCTGTATTCCCAAATTCTTAATTTATTGTTATATAAAATTAGCTTAATAAGCTCATTTACTCACAACTGCTGTAAAAATCAGTAGCTACGATGAGAGTCTTAACTGGGGTGGGGAGGTCATACCTTTGGTAATAAGTTTCGATAGCTTCAGCAGTGTGATGCTTGGCATGTGTTCTTTTGATTTGTTTCTAGAAAAATAAAAAAACCAGGACTTTTACAAAGGTGTCATAGATCAAAACACTGAAATCATGACTACACAAACACACGATCCTTGGCTATACTTTGATAGATGTGAACCATGCTTTTAGATTCCATACAGAAATGACATTCAATCTACCTACTGAATTGAACGCCTTCAGACTGTACTGCAATGTACCATATGTAAAAGCCAGTAAGGTCACAATAATTGAATCTAAATAAGTTTACTGAAGGCTGCTGAGGGCAAAGAAAAACTTGTTCTCTCTTTCAACCTTTGTATTAATTTTCCCTCAATTCAATTCCATCTAAGTCTGGTGCACTCTAGTTTTACAATTCAATTGGCATTTTTAACCAGGAAGAACATTGCTTAAAAACAACTTATTTGAAAAACTACAAAAAGTAATTCCGTAGAGACTTGCCACTTGACTGACACCTGTCATCTCATGATAAATGACTCCATTTTCTGCCTCTCTTGCCTTCTGCCACTCCGGCAATGGTCATTTATCATCATCTCTGTCAGCAATGGAAAGCAGCACTGACAGTGCAAGTCAGCAAACATTTAGCACATGGAACCACGCAACACAGGGAAATTATTATTGTCAGAATAATAATGGTTTAGCATAATTTATTACAGGTCCACCAAATAAGCAAAGGCTAGATGTTATTAGACAGATGGATGGGTAGGCTTGGCAGCCATCCACTGAGACTCAGGCGGTGCTTGATGTGGAAAAAGGAACATCCTCCAAACCAATCAGAAAGCTGGCAGTTCAATTACAAAGAAATAAAGGGACATTCATCATTCAATTAGGCACCTGTCAACCCTCACAAAGGAGAAAACTTCTAACCTGGTACTCCTGGGAGAAGATGCTCAGCAGAGTGGACTGCGATTGACTGGAACAAATAAAAGAAGGACAAAGTTAATTACTGGAGTGCACTGCAAAGAAACAAAAGAGAAGGGAGCTTCAAAGGTAGGCCTGCTGCCCTGTAATCTAACAGAACATGAAAACAAGTGTGGAAAAGTTGTTCCAGATGAACACCTCAGACAAAGGCTTCCTGCTGCTAGGTCAAGGAGAGAGAGTATGAGGGAGGGGAGGAAAATATAGCAAGAACTTCAAATCAAACTAGCATACTGTTTGGGTGATTCAACTTCAGAACCCAAAAGTCCTACCAGAAGCAAGTAGTGGAGCTAAAAGGTAACAGGGATAAAAGGAAATTAAAGCAAAATTTCCATTAAAAATTGATGGAGTTAAATTCCATCAGCAGTTGGGAACATGCTGCTTGTTCATTGGCAACATATTGAAATTCATTTTGTTAGCAGCAAGGAAACTTCTTCAGTAGCTGTCTCATATTCAGGTTAAAAACTTCCCCTCTGTCAGAAGCAGCATATGGGACCAGTGGAACATTCCCACTGAAACTGATGCGCTTTGAAAATGGAAACTTTCACAGCAGGAAGCCAAGATTCCCCGGAGTCGGTCATTTCCAAAAGCTGCCATAAGCTTCATTCATCTACGGCTCCACTCAATGTTGAACACCTGGCAATGAAGCAACCTGGAAAGCATTCTTCCCAAGTGGGAATTTTTCTCTCTGAATTGTTAACATTTAGAAAAGAGACAAGATTTTTTTCCTCTGAAAGGCAATCAATACCACACCGCTACTGTTTTCAATTGTCCTCTGTGGATATATCTACCTCATCACATCCTGAGTACTACTAATTACTCCTGATATATTTTTCTACTACATGCAACTTGAACAAATTATAGCCTCAATAAATCGAGTTTTATGGTACAGCAAAGCATTATGAATAATCAACATTTTTTCCTCCCATGAACTTACCTACTATGGCACAGCATAGGTAGTTCAAAGATTCCATAATGTCTAAAGTCTCACTCTTCTGTCAGATTTTTTGTATGTGAATTTAACACCCGTATCATATCATAATTACATTAAAAGTACATATTCTCTCCATACATAAATGACCCTTCTCCTTCCAACTCTCACACTTCAGAAACACTAATTTAAAATGAGGAAGTCCTATTCTCACTTTCGAAAGGGAACAATGAGACACAAAACAACTAAACGGTTGGATCAGAGTTAAACAGACAGTATGTACATGCATCATGGTATAAAGTTACCTCTAAGCCAAGCAGCTGAAGAATCAGGAACAAAGTGACTAGATCAGTGCAGTGCTGTATAAAGAACTTACAAGTATACCTTATCCATAGCTGTGCTTCCAGGCTTTTTGCCATAACTTTGTATTTAGGGCTTGTCTGCCCAGCACAACATCTGCATGACAGCAGTAAGCTGAGCCTTGATCTTTGGTATTTTACACATGGGACTGTTCACCCTGAGTACTCACTGAGACTGCGTGTTAAAACTGTAGAACAATGATAGAAACAGAAACTGACTAATATATAGATTAAATTAATGGATTACAGAAAAAAATAAGTCCAATACAGTAAAGAATTTAAATTTTAATAGTTTATAGTCAAATAAAGTAAACAGTATTTAAATAAAAAATATTTATTTAAATATACACATGACATAGAGGCCAGGAGTTACATACCACAAACATTGTGGAGTTACAAAGCCTCTCCAAAAGGTGCACAATCCAATTATGACAACCTGCAACCTGCACATGTAATCACTAGAAGGTGAACAAAGGAAAGAAATTAAGATGATATACTTACACAGGCTATACACATACAGAAAGCTAAGATATTTCAAGTTGATTTAAAAAAAAACCCCAAACCTGCAGGCTATAAATAAGTTGGATACATATGGCCCCTGAATGGCTCACCACATAACTATTATTACCTTGTAGATTTACATGGTCATAATGGTAGAACTGAATTTAGAGACAGATGTGGGAAAAATCCCAGAACAGATCAGGACAGCATTTGACTAGATCTCTGGTTTGAGTTCTCCTCCACTGACATAGTAATTTTTGTGGTTTTAGGCTATTCCTGGTATGTTAACTATACTTATACTATCATTATCCTATTAAACACTGACACTGGCATATTTAAAAAAAAACAAAACAAAACAACTAAGACCATTATCCCTCCCTCCCTTTACATTCCACCTTTAATGGCAGACTTGCAAATGCTAGGTTAATGACCATGATGGCCTTCAAGGTCTTCTCAAAACTAAATGTTTCTCTTATTCTTGTCCATGATATTTGTCCCCTTAGTGTCCTTGGATTTTGACCTACTTCAATTCAGTTCAACACTCCTCTCCTATGGACCAGTCTTTCCAACTGTTCAGATAATTTAGGACCTAGCACGAATACTGAAAAAATTCATTCCAATAACAGTGCAAATTGGATATATACTGGATTGCAGTACATACACTTTATCACTGGGGCAAAGAGAATTATTTCAATAACATCATTCAAATAATTACAAGCCTTATTACTGGATGATCTTTCCCCTTCTCCAGGAGAAGTGGATTTATATCTTTACATGGCTGCTTCCACGTTTGTTTTGGTTAACATTGTTCCTGTCTTAAAAACTAAAACCACTCATCTGCCACTCAAGTGTTTCCTTGCTACAATTTCATTGAGACAACTTCCGGGCCAAATGAAGTAGCTCTTCAAAACACAGATGGAGCATCTATGGCAAGATCTTATTGAGTGAAAACTGAAACATCATGGTTTCAGAAAGCAACGAAAAAGACACTACTATGTACTTGGAGAGGGAAGAGAAGTCATGAATGTGAATTTGAATAGAAAAACAGCACAATCACAACTGCTGATACTGACAGCAGGAATACTACCATAGAAGTTATCATTACTTCTAGAGGAACAGCTAAATTCCCAGGGCTCCATCCATCCTCTGATACTTCTATACAAGATTTCAAAGCAACAAATGAGCAGACAAATGAATTTATTGCTGAACTATCCAGGAAAACAAACGTAACACTGAAAGTGGCTTTTTATTCAAAATAACATTTGAGTACTGCGTTGTTGCCTTTCATGGAATAAACTATATAGTAAGCCTCATGCCTTACTTGAAGACTAGAAATATAGATGTTTGTGACAAGCAGATACTTTTGTTGAGAAACAACTGTAGAGACAAGGTACATAATTGCTGATTTTCTGAAACAAATGAACAAAACCCAGAAGCCATAATTCTGAGTACTACTGCATTTAAACATTTAATATTCTAACCTGTTATCCCTCCTGTAGAACTCAGTATATTGTCCAGGGAAATAAGCAAATTTTTCTCAGTTCAGCAGTTCTGTAGTGACAACTTTCATGGAAACATTTTCTTCTGCAATTCTAGACAGTAATGAATCTAACTCCCAGAGCTCTGTTCAAAGCATCCATCCTCACTCTTTAGATATCCTCTTTTACTTGTATACTGGCATCCACAGTGAGGCCAATTTACCTTTTGTTACTCCATGTCGGTGTCATACTTCCATCTGAATGCCCGATGTATTTCATGCTCTTGTCAATACTTAAGTGGATTTGAGCAGAAAACTGAAAGCTAAAGTTGGCTAAAAATGCCCATTTTTTAATGATAAAAATACTTCTATTTTATAAAATGAAGTGCAAGTTCTAGGTTACAAGTGATATAAAGATACAAAAATTTGCTTGCCATAAAAAAAAATACTATTACAGTTATTAAAGTTACTTCTAATACACAAATCCAACATTTAGAAGGGGATGCCCAAGACAGTCCAGAAAAAGGGATAAGAAAAATGATCTCTAAGAACTTAGATATCAGTTAAGCTAGAAAGAGCTTGGTGCTGGGAAAAGAATATGCCCTTTGGTCAATTACTAAATAAGTATAAAATTTAGACCATTCTCTTCTAATGAATCTCAGAATTTGAAGACAAGGAATGTTCTGGTTTGCAATGAGTACTCACATATAAAGTAGTAACAGATAAGTTACTACTTCATATAAGCAGTTTACTGCTTTGTAGCTAGATACAAAACTTTGGCTAAGAAGCAGCTAGTAATGATGAAAGCAATTTAATTGTATCAGATCATCACCTCAACAAAACAGAATTGCAGATGCAACCAAGATTTGGAGTGCTGTCCAGCTTAATATTTGCTACTTACTTTAGCCTCACAAGGAGAAAATCCAAGCATAGCAAATGTTATGCAAATATTATACTATCAGCCCTTGCAAATAATGAATTCTTTACAGTTAAGATGAAACTTGGAGTTTTTATTTTCTGAGACTACTGAAAACATGGATTTGTAGGTGCAAACCAAGATTTCACTTGTTTCATGTTTTATAATGAGTTTCCTTTCCCTCACTTTTAACTCTACATTTGTTGCCTAAAGTACAAAGAGTAAAAATCAGTTTCACATTTAGTGTATTTTATCATGGAACAAAGGAAGAGTATCTAGAGAGATTTCACACAAGTGGAGGCAAGAAGGGGGAAAGCATAGTCCATAAGACAAATATGTTATATATAAACAGAATAGCTTAATTGTTTCTTTTTTACAAAACTGAATATTCCATCTTATTAAAACGATAAACATATTGGTTAAAAACTGAGTGTAGGGGCAGGAGCTGTGTTTCCAAAATTCAGAAGCTGTTACATGAGAAATCCCAAAGCTGCAGTGTCAAACCTTCTTCCTGAAGAACATACACTGCCACTTAGCTACAGAAAGAATTCAATAAGGGGGGAAAATTGTTTCTTCCACAATCTCTAGTGAGTATGCTTCCATATCATGATATGAAAGTCCTAAAGTTCTAAAACAGATAGCAAGAGTCTCTCATTTCTTTAAACTGGAAAAGAACTTCCCCTTTCCACGCATAGTAAGTTTAAAAATACTTTTACTGGCACAATATTGAGCATTAAAATAAAAGTAATAGGGCTAGAACTGTGTGGTGCTGCCATGCCAGCTTTAAAATCTAAGTGAGGAAAGAAAGATA